TGAGCGTTTGTGTTGCACTTTAGCAATGATATTAATACAGAAAAATAAGAAAATGGGAAATAAGTATTAAAAGTTAGCTGTGTGTTGCACAAAAGTGGAATTTTACAAAATTGTGCTTGTATTAACTATCAGGATATTTAGCTTTTAATTTTAATATTATTAATACATTTTAGAAGCATCAGTAATCTGAAAATAAAGGTAAACATCATAATTTTATGTTTTATTTATATTCAGTTTATTGTGTGACATTTGCAATACATCTAATAATTCTTTTGCGAGAATTGCATAACAGAATTTCTCTCAGATCTTACCAAATTAAAAACAAAATATTCCTACATTCCACATTTTTCTTATTATAATTTTGGATGTATTAAAATTTTGCAAAGTTACTCAAATTCATTACTTTATTAAATTTTCAATGTAGAAATTGGACAATTTTAATATGAAAATAAAACTTGGGAATTAAAAGGAAGAGCAGAATATGGAAATTTTTATACTCCTTTTATTTTTCCCCTTAAGTTATAGTTATACATTTTTATACAGTATAAAGAAAGCATACACAGGGTTAATCTCAATAAGAATATTTTTCTTTAATATATTTAAGCAATTTGTTAAACTGTGTGTTGGCTGAAAACAAAATCAAAATGCTTCTTGATGCACATATAAGAGGGATTTAAATATATAGATAGTCAAATAGGGGGAATGGTTTCAAATAATGGCAAGTTATGTGTTAGGATCAATTGTTCTGCAACACCACTTTGTTGAATAGGTTTTATGTACTTTGTGAATAAAATTTTGAGCTGACAGTCTATCTATAAATGTAGTCCCAACACTCATCCAAATTTTACTGTATTTTTGAGGTAAAGTCGTTCTATTAGTATACATAATATACACACAATATCTAGGAAGACAATTTTGAAGGAGGAACCAGACTCTGAGTACCAGGCTCTAGCTCCAGCCTGGTACTCAGAGCCCCCGATCTTGGTCATCCAGTTAAACGTCATTAAACTTCAGTTTCCTCTTGCAAAGTGATTGTAAAAGAGCTTGATTACAAGATCAGATTTGTGATTTTAAAGATACATGTGTTTGGCGTTATTGTGAAAGATACACGAAACAGTGTAAGACTACAGTAGTCCAAGTATTCACGACTAGGACTTAAATAATGACAGGTCGGATGGAACGGAGCAGAGAGCAGAGGAAGACTTTTAACAATGGGAAGAAATAGAAGTGAGAAATTTTAAGTATTGCATCCATTTTTTTTTTTTTTTTTTTACTTTTTTAAAGCTTTGGGGACCCTTTTTTTTTTTTTTTTTTTTTTTTTTGGCGCAATCTCGGCTCACTGCAAGCTCCGCCTCCTGGGTTCACGCTATTCTCCTGCCTCAGCCTCCCGAGTAGCTGGGACTACAGGCACCCGCCACTGTTTTGTATTTTCAGTAGAGACGGGGTTTCACCGTGTTAGCCAGGATGTTCTCGATCTCCTGACCTCGTGATCCGCCCGCCTCGGCCTCCCACAGTGCTGGGATTACAGGCTTGAGCCACCGCGCCCGGCCGCATTCTGAAACACTTTGGAAGCACTTCTGTAAATATTGTATTAGGATATGTGTTTCAATGTAAGAGATTTCTGTTGCAGTTTTTTTTCCCCGCTTCTTTCTCTATTTCTTTCTCTTCACTGAGCCAAGCATTTCCATGGAACCTGGTTCCTTGATACTTAATCACTTGGAAAAGGGAATTTGAGAAGATGAGCACAAAAGCATAAGAAATGCCTGTGCTTTCTTTCCTAACATACTTAATGCTCAGGTTTCTGGATAATCTGGCTTAACCTTTGGACAATTATTTGTGCAAAATAATGGTTTTGGGCCTCTGTGTTAAAACATTGAAGACCAAATTACTCTGCAGCAACTTGGCACAGGTTATGATTGATTTAAGATCCTCCATTTATTGAATAATGCCAATTTACCTGGAGTATCACTAGGATATTACACACACACACACACACAAACACACACATACGTTTAATAGGCTTATATGTCTTAGCAAATGAAAGTCATAGTTCATGATATTTGGAAAATGAAGAGTAATTTTTGGGAATAATTCTGTTAGAGTTTCAAAAGCATCTATTTTCAATAATACATTCAGTTTCAGACATAATAATCCATATTATCCTTACATGTATATAATGATATATTCTTAATATTCTTATATACAATTAATAGATCTTGAAATTAGAGTCTTTAAAATTGTCAACTCAAATTTTTTACCCCTTACAATTATTTATTCTATATTAAACTTATACATTTATACAGCTGGTTTTCTAGATTTTTAATATAATACAAAGCTCTTTATCTTTACAAAGCAACTAATTTTAATGTGGAGATTCTCTGATTACTAAAAAACAGTTCTTACTTTAAGGTGAAATGTGCCTTTTTGTAATTTAGTTTCCTGTTATTTTAAGAACAATTCTTTTTTGCCACCTGAAGAAACACTATTGATAGGCAAATTGAGATATCACAATGAGTTTTTAAATTCTAGCCCTTTCCAGAATTCTTAAGACTCTAGATGTGCCTTCTTAATTTTTCCTCAGTGTGTCCTCTTCATGCTCTAAAACATTTCTGAGGAATCTTCCACCTGCACTGAGATTTCTTGAATTCAGAGATTATTTCTTATTCTTTGGTGTATTTCTAATGTGTAACTAAGTTGTTGGACTCTAATAGGCCTGAAACAGCTATTTACTGAATACATACGCACTTATTATCCAACATTTATTATTTCCTATATGCAAATAAAGAATTCAGGTACAATTATGAAATTATCTCCATTCTCAAATAATTTTAAAATAAAACACTGAGGACTAAGATGGTGCTATGGAAAAGATTGAAACAAAATCCAACTAGACTTTAGAGCATGAAGATATTATGTCCAGTATATTTTTGGGGGAAAACTTTTCAATTTTCTTCTCTGCATTGTTATTAAATAAGGTTATGATTTCACATGTGAAAGTGGGGAGAGGGAGAGCATCCAGGTAGATACATTGTCAGGAAAAGATGGCTCATTGGAGATAAGAGTGACTTCATACGTGATTCCTTAGGCATTGGCCATTGAAATGTTTTGAGTGAGAGTGCTCCACGACAGCTGTGTACCATGAAGAACTAGAGGAAAAGGTGTTCCTTAAGGACCACTGGATGAGATAAAGCAGCAGTATTTCAGCCCAACACTGGTATAGTCAAATCCTAGAGCCTCTGCCCTCATCCTAATTATTATTGGATCTTTAGGGCATATAAAGCCAGAAGGCTTGTTATGAAGGGAAAACACATTTCCTTTCATATTTAGTTTCCATTTTTTTAAGAATAATTGAATTGTAATAACAATGATTCACATAGGATTCCAGAAAAGCTATGAATTGATGATTTAGTACGTATCACTTGCTACACAAATGATGTGAAGTGGGGAATGAGGCAGGTCAGTTGGGAGAAATGCCACCTCAAAAGTGTTCTCCTGGATTAAAATGTGCATTTTAGACTTTGACTTCTCTGGATTCTTTACTGAAATATAAGATTTGCTTTTTTTTTTTTTTTTTTTTAAACTTTTATTTGAGGTTCAGGGGTATATGTGCAGGTTTGTTATGTAAGTAAATTGCATGTCATCGGAATTCAGTATAAGAACTATCTTGTCACTCAGTTACTAAGCATAGTACCTGTTAGGTAGTTTTTCTATTTTCCTCCTCCACTCTCTACCCTCAACTATGCCCTGGTGCCTGTTGTCACCACCTTTGTGTCCCTTTGTACTCAATGTTTAGCTTACACTTATAAGTGAGAACATACAGTATTTGATTTTCTGTTCCCATGTTAGTTTTCTTAGGATTATGGCCTCCAGCTCTATTCATGTTGCTGCAAAGGGCATAATCTTGTTCTTTTTAATGGCTACATAGTATTCCATGGTGTATATATATCACATTTTCTTTATCCAGTTTTTCCTGTTGATGGGCACTTGGGTTGATCCCATGTCTTTGCTATTGTGAATAGTGCCACAATGAACATGTGCATGCATGTTACTTTATGGCAGAATAATTTCTATACCTTTGGGTTTGTATCCAATAATGGGATTGCTGGGTCCAATGGTGTTTCTGTTTTAAGTTCTTTGTACAAAAGCATAAGAAATGCCTATGGTTTCTTTCCTAACATACTTAATGCCACACTGATTTCCACAATAGCTGAACTAATTTACATTCCCACCAGGAGTCTGTAAGCAATTCCTTTTCTCCATAACTTCACCAGCAACTGTTGTTTTTTGAATTTTTAATAAAAGCCATTCTGACTAGTGTGAGAAAGTATCTCATTGTGGTTTTAATTTGCATTTCTCAAATAATTAGCTCATGTTGAGCATTTTTTCATATGCTTGTTGGCCACTTATGTGTTTTCTTTAAAGAAGTGTCTATTCATGTCCTTTGCCCACTTTTTACTGTTTTTGTTCTGTTTTGTTTTGTTTTTGCTTGTTAGTAACATAAGATATTTTTAAAGTTTCCTTCTAAGCTTGGAACAGAAGACTGGAAGTAAGGACATGAGAAGCACAGACACAAATTTCCCCATGTTCTGTACAATTCTGTAATTCCTGCTCTAACAATACTGGTGAGCTGGGGGGAAAAAAAAGTAGAAGGATAACCTTGTCTAAATATTTGCCGTTGCCTTCTAATTGGTCTTTTTTAGATTTTGTCCTCTTCCAGGCCTCCTTTTTTTCCTGGAATTATTTTTCTTAAATACAAATTTTAATTCCCTATTCCATTCTTATTGTCTGTACATCCAAGCTCTTAATGAAACATGGTTTACAAAGCCCTTTAGAGTTTGGCTTCTTCCTGTCTCTTTAACCTCATCTCATTCAGTGTCCCTTCTTGTCCCAGTCTTCAGGTGCAAGGAAAATAGTATTACTATACCATCCTGCCTTCGTGCAGGAACTTTCCCCATTTTAAGTTTGATGCGCTCCTGTTCTTCAGTCCAAAACCAGCCAAAGTGATTGCTTGGGCAGTACATATACTAAAATTAGAACAACAGAGAAACAATTTAGCATGGCCCCAGAGAAAGAATGACATGCAGATTCATGAAGTATTCTATATTTTTATGCTGTATGGTTCCACTTTTATGAGGGTACCTAGAATAGTCAAATTCATAGAGATAGATAAAATGGTGGCTGGCAGGGACTGAGGGAGGGAGGAACATGGAGTTATTGTATAATAGGCACAGAGATTCAGATTTATAAGATAAAAAGAGTTCTGTGCAGGTGGATTAGGAGCAAAACCATGTGAACGTATTTAATGCCACTGAACAGTACATTCAAAAATGGTCAAGATAAATTTCATGGTGTGTGTATTTTACCACAATTTTTAAAACTAGTCTAAGTTCCGTGGTCCCTTTCCTCTGAACCCAACCCCAGAGGGAGTTAAGCACTTCCATTATTTAATAAGTAGACTGAAATAGCTGCACACTAAGTGATTGTTAAGGACTATAACCTTGAACACACTGTTGCTTAATTCTCATCAAATGCTTCATTGGGCAACATAAATTTGCAAAGGATTGCCTGAGTGATATATAGTCCATGTGTTCCTATAGATACAAAAAAAAAAAAAAAAAAAAAATCCTAAGAATAAGCTTCACAAGCAGAAATTTACACATCTGGATCATATGGTCTGTCCTCTTGTAAAACTGCTTTTACCGTATGTAATTTGGCATTATGTCATCATTGGTCCATGCTAGCAACCACTATAAGAAATAGCCCTATGAAGTCAATTTAATATATAGATGTTGTTGAGGATGGCACAATTTTTTTTTTTTTTTTTTTGATCACCTATAAGGAAAAACTTTCATTTCAGCACTAGGAATAGGTTCATTTTCTTTTTCTTTGGAGATAGTATAAATAGTGTAATTTATTATGTTCTCATTTTTCTTACCTTCCAAAAAGTTTAGAGGCCAAATGCTTACTCTGGCATTTTTCTAGACCTTAAGTATGTATTCTGTATGCTCATATATTGTTAACTTCAAATTATCTATGCAAAGTTATTTTTTTCCTCTGGATTTACTACTCCAATATTTTTTTTTTCCTTTTATTTCATGTTGTGAGAAACTTTAAATACATTATTGAATAAATAAACATGAACTAATAAATTCATTCTTTCCTCTATGCTCTTACTGGATATTGCTTATATTTGTATCATTAGTTTTACCACCATTACTTTGTATTTACATATGTGCCATTCACATTGGACAATAAGCACTTTTAAAAAAACTTTTAGGATCAGGAGTACATCTGCAGGTTTGTAACATAGGTAAACTCCTGTCATAGGGATTTATCGTACAGATTATTTTATCACCCAGGTATTAGGCCTAGTACCCATTAGTTATGTTTCTTGCTCCTCTTCCTCCTCCCACCGTCCATTCTCCAGTAGCCCTAGTGTCTGCTGTTTCCCTCTCTGTGTCCATGGTTCTCATCATTTACCTCTCGCTTGTAAGCGACAACATGCACTATTTAGTTTTCTCTTCCTGCTCTAGTTTGCTAAGGTTAATGGCCTTCAGCTCCAATCATGTTCCTGCAAAGGATATGATCTTTTTTATGGCTCTTTTGGGGCTGCATAATATTCCATGGTGTATATGTACCACTTTTTCTTTATCCAGTCTACCACTGACGGGCATTTAGGCTGATTTCATGCCTTTGCTATTGTGAATAGTGCTGCAGTGAACATATACTTGCATGTGTCTTTGTGACAGAACAATTTATATTCCTTTGGTACATACTCAGTAATGGGATTCCTGGGTCGAATTGTAGTTTTGTTTCTGGCTCTTTGAAGAATTGCCACACTGCTTTCCACAGGGCTTGAACTAGTTTACACCCACCAACAATGTGTAAGCATTCCTTTCTCTTCACAACCTGGCCAGCATGTGTTATTTTTTGACTTTTCAATAACAGTCATCCTAACTGGTGTGAGATGATATCTCATTGTAGTTTTGATTTGCTTTTTTCTAATGATCAGTGATATTGAACTTTTTTCTTCCACGTTCTTGTTGGCCACATGTGTATCTTTTTTTGAGAAGTGTCTGTCATGTTCTCTGCCTACTTTTTAATGTTTTTTTCCTTGAAATTGTTGAAGTTCCACATAAATGATAGATATTAGACTTTTGTTAATACATAGTTTGCAAAATTTTCTCTTATTCTGTAGCTTGTCTATTTACTCTGTTGACAGTTTCTTTTGCTGTGCAGAAGCCTAGGTTGTCCTCCAAGGTTTTTTATAGTTTTGGGTTTCACATTTAAGTCTTCAATCCATCTCAAGTTGATTTTTGTGTATGGTATGATGAAGGGGCCCAGTTTCAATCTTTTGCATATGGCTAGTCAGTTGTTCCAGCACTATTTATTGAATAGGGAGTCATTTCCCCATTGCTTACTTTTGTCGACTTTGTTGAAGGTCAGATGGTTGTAAGTGTGCAGACTTATTACTGTGCTTTCTATTTTTTTTTCTATTGGTCTATGTGTCTGTTTTTGTACCAGTACCATTATGTTTTGGTTACTATAGCTCAGTAGTATAGTTTGAAGTTGCGTAGTATGATGCTTCCAACTTTGTTCTTTTTGCTTAGGAATGCCTTGGCTTTTCTGACTCCGTCTCGGTTTCATATGAATTTTAAACTAGTTTTTTCTAGTTCTGTGAAGAATATCATTGGTAGTTTGCTAGGAATAGTGTTGAATCTATAAATTGCTTTGGGCAGTATGGCCATGTTAACAATATTGATTCTTCCTATCCATGAGTATAAAATGGTTTTCCATTTGTTTGTGTCATCTCTGACTTGTTTGACCAGTGTTTTGTAGTTCTCTTTGTTGAGATTTTTTACCTACCTGTTTAGCTGTATTCCTAGGTATTTTATTCTTTTTGTGGCAATTGTGAATGAGAATGTATTCCTGATTTGTCTCTCACCTTGACTGTTGTTAATGTTTGGGAATGCTAGTGATTTTTGTATGTTGATTTTGTATCCTGAGATTCTGCTCAAGTTGTTTATCAGCTGAAGGAGTTTTGGACAGACGGTGAGGTTTTCTAGTTATAGAATTATGTCATCTGAAAACAGGGATAGTTTGACTTCATCTCTCCCTATTTCAATGCCCTTTATTTCTTTCTCTTACCTGATTGCTCTGGTCAAGATTTCCAATACTACGTTGAATAGGTGTGATGAAAGAGAGCATCCTTGTCTCATGCTTGTTTTCAAGGCGAATGCTTCCAGCTTTTGCCCACTTAGTATGATGTTGACTGTGGGTTTGTCATAGATGGTTCTTATTACTTTAAGGAATGTTCCTTCAATACCTAGTCTATTGAGAGTTTTTAATATAAAGGGGTGTTGAATTTTATTGAAAGCTTTTTTCTGAATCTACTGAAATAATCATATGGTTTTTATCTTTAGTTCTGTTCATGTGATGAATCACCTTTATTGATTTGCATATGTTGAAGCAACCATGCATCCTAGGGATAAAACCTACTTGTCTGTGATGGAAAGCTTCTTGACATGCTGCTGGATTCGGTTGGTCAGTATTTGTTGAGGATTTTTTGTATTGATGTCCATCAAGAATATTGGTTTGAGTTTTCTTTTTTTGTTGTGTCTCTGCCAGGTTTTGATATCAGGATGATGCTGGCCTATAGAACGAGTTAGAAAGGAGCCCCTCCTTCTCAGTTTTTGGGAATAGTTTTAGTAGAAATGGTACCAGTTCCTCTTTGTACATCTGGTAGAATTCAGCCGTGAATCTGTCTGGTCCTGGGATTTTTTTGGTTGGCAGGCTATTTATTACTGATTCCATTTTGAAGCTTGTTATTGGTCTATTCAGGGATTAATTTCTTCCTGGTGTAGTCTTTGGAGGGTATCTATGTCCAGGAATTTATCAATTCTTCTAAATTTTCTAGTTTGTATGCACAGAGGTATTCACAGTATTCTCTGATGGTTATTTCTATTTCTGTGGGGTCAGTGGTAATATCCTCTTTGTCATTCTAGTTGTGTTTATTTGGATCTTTTCTCTTCTTTATTAGTCTAGCCAGTGTTCTATCTATTTTATTCATTTTTTTAAAAGACAACTTGTAGATTTGTTGATCTTTTTAATGTTTGTGTGTGTGTGTGTGTGTGTGTGTGTTTCAATCTCCTTTAGCTCAGTTCTGGTTTTGGTGATTTCTTGTCTTCCGCTAATTTTGCAGCAAGTTTGCTCTTGGTTTGCTAGTTCTCTTAGTTGTGATGTTAGGTTGTTAAATTAAGATCTTTCTGCCTTTTTGATGTGGGTGTTTAGCGCTATAAATTTCCCTCTTAACACTGCCTTAGCTGTGTCCCAGAGATTCTGGTTTGTTGTATCTTTATTTTTATTAGTTTCAAATAACTTTTTGACTTCTGTCTTAATTTCATTATTTACCCAAATGTCATTCAGGAGCAGATTACTTAATTTCCATGTAACCGTATGGTTTTGAGCAATTTTCTTAGACTTGATTATTAATTTTATTGTGCCAGGGTCTGGGAGAGTGGTTGGTATGATGTTAGTTCTTTTGTATTTGCTGAGGATTATTTTATATCTCATTGTGGAGTCAATTTTAGAGTATGTGCCATGAGCAGAATGTTTGTTCTGTCATTTTAGGGTGGAGAGCTCTGTAGATGTCTAGCAGGTCCATTTGATTCAGTGCTGAGTTAAAGTCTTGAATATCTTGGTTAATTTTCTGTCTTGATAAACTGTTAGTGGGGTGTTGAGGTCTCCCACTGTTATTAGGTGGAAGTCTAAGTCTGAAGGTCTCTAAGCTGATATAATGTATTTAATTACCTTTAACGTATTTATTAAAAATATGAAAGAAAAGACAAGACCCTTACAATTTATTCTGAATTTTGTGAAATAGCTTATGGGTAATAATTTGCATATATCCTTCAATTCATTTAGAATATAAACCTGTGTTACTGCCAGTAAAGGATTAGTGAATGAAGACTCAATATCATAAATAGATATTTAGTGGAGTTTAAAATTTCACCTAAAGCAAGGAAGTTGATTTTTACAAATTCATTAAATGGGTTGTTTGATAATAAGTCACATGCAAAGTCTTATCAGTAACATTTTGACCAATTCT